TGGAGCGGGTCCAGAGGAGGCCACGAAAATGATCAGGGGGGTGGAACGCCTCTCCTGTGAAGAAAAGCTGAGAGAGCTGGGGTTGTTCAGCCTGGAGAGGAGAAGGCTTCGGGGAGACCTTATTGTGGCTTTTCAGTACTTAAAGGGGGCTATTAAGAAAGATGGGGAGAGACTTTTTAGCAGGGCGTGTTGCGACAGGACAAGGGGGAATGGTTTTAAACTAAAAGAGGGCAGATTCAGACTAGCTAGAAGGAAGAATTGTTTACACTGAGGGTGGTGAAACGCTGGCGCAGGTTGCCCAGAGAGGTGGTAGATGCCCCATCCCTGGGAACATTCAAGGTCAGGTTGGACGGGGCTCTGAGCAACCTGATCTGGTTGAAGATGTCCCTGCCCACGGCAGGGGGGGTGGACTAGATGACCTTTAAAGGTCCCTTCCAACCCAAACTATTCTGTGATAAGGTATGATAAACAATATGTATCATCATTCTCTATGCTTTCATTACCCTCAATCTTTTCAGCAGATTATGTAATGGACTTGCTTCTCATAGTCCAATCAAAAAAAAAAATTTGTTATTATACAGTTTCTACAGTTGCTAGTTTGTGCTTGCAGATCTGACACCACAAGCCTGCAGAAACCTGTGTTCCTTATCCGCACTCCACCTACATCTTTACAGTTAATCTGAACGCTTCTTGTTGAGCAGAAGGAAATGGCTACCCAAATAAACCAGCGCTCAAGAAGAGAGCATTCATAGCATATTTATTACTTTACTGTAGGCATTTAAGTGTATGCGACCCTACCTTGCCCTTGACAGAAGGCAGCTTACTCTACCTCACCATGCATTTGAGCAGCCATTCTCAAGACAAATTGAGATATATGAACAAAGTTTAAATTCTCCTTGGGTTTTGACATTCAAAATGTTGACAAAACAAAATCGGTTTAGTTTTCAAATACCCTTCAATTCGAAGGCGATTTTAGGATTATTTCATGGGATTTTTAAGCATCAGCAAAGCAACATAAATGTGGTAAAGAGCACAGGCCGAACTGTAGGCTTTCCCTAATGAAGCATCTATAAAATCCTGCACCTCTCAGACCTGTTTTCTACATCCTGATTGGTATAGGAAGGGAAAACTCACTGAACTCTTACATAGGGAATCCAAGGACTTAGGGACCAATGTGCAGGTTGAACTAACTTAACATTCCTCCCCAAAGCAAATTAAAATGTTTTCTCTCTGTGAGAGTTTCAATCTGAAAGAAAACACACCTGGGACAGAATTCAGAAACAACAGTATTTTGAGAAGTACAGAAAGAGGAGTGAAACACATGGATTAGCTCTGTTAATTCTGATTTTCAGTAACATGAAAATCAAAATTAACGGGAAAAAAAAAAGCAACAGCTTTAACTGTGTCAAGTGACATGCAAATATAGCAAGATCATCTGCAGGAAAATTGACTTCAAACTGTAACTGCATTGCTCACACATTAATCCAGGTCTGCTGCCAATTTAAACCTATATATACTTGACCATCTTTTTTGCTCCTATATCATTCAGGCCATCTGTCACCTTAAGACAATGAGATTGTCTGAACAAAGAATTCTACATGGGTATAGAATAGAAAATACAAAGTTCTTTCTTTTTATTTCTGAAAGACTAATGAATTAAAATGTGTTTACAACTTAGCCTGTACACTCATGCACACCTACGAAAAATGCTGATCCTTTTGAAAGGAAGCGCATCCTATAGGGTGCTAGTCCTTTATAACCTGCAGCTTTGTAATTCATACCATTACAGAGGCACTAAAAAGAATTTAAACAAGGAACCATGAATTTGAAATTTCAGATCCACCACACACAGACCCATACAAAGGCATTAAGGTTTTGAAGAAATTAAAAAACACTTCTTACATGCAACATTTGTTGCTTGCAGACAGACTAGAATTTTCTTGCAAAATTACTGAACGTGAAACACCATTGAAGCCACCCTGGAGTTCCAGGTGTAGATGGTCCAAAAGGTAACGCATGAACTCATGGGCATCCTGTTGCTGGTATCCCCTTAAGAGAAAAGGAAACAACAGCAACAAAATCACCAAACATACAGGTTGCTTTAGTACTGATGCACAGAGCGCACCAGGGTCACATGAAAGAACCTTTGCTGTTTAATAATACTCAGCAGACTTTACAGAGACATACATATTTTGTACCAAAAAAGTTTTCCAAGTAGCCTTTGGAAACGTACAACTACATCTAGACAAAAGAAGCGATTTTGGTCCTTTGCAGCTCTCACTCTCGCTCTGCGCACCTCTTTTTGAGGATGGAGAAACATTTGAGAGTATACATTTTAGATAGGAAAAGACCTTTTAGAAAACAACAGGGAGAAACGTAACGTTTGCTCACATACTCGGTTAATGTTAATTGGCCTCACCAAACTCAGTCTGTGCTAGTAACATCCTAGGACTCTCATACATGTTAATGGAAAATACACAATGGTAGCAGTGACTTCCCCTCACTCACACAAAGCATTTCTACTTTTTCTTTATTATTGACTACATTTGATTAGTACCTCCGCAGAATTGTTATGAATCAGGTTCAGACAGCACACTATTCATCCCTATTTTGAAACTACTATAAATTATGGTCAATATATTCACATCGTAAAGCTGGTTAAGATTCAAAAGACCCACAAAATGCATTGTTCATGTGGGATCCTGAGTCAGTATTTCTGAGTGGTTTTCATTCAACCACTGATCCCACTCACTTTGGCAGTTCCAGGTGTTTGCTTGCCTGTTTGTTCCCCTCCCCACCAAAGCCAGAACTTTAATCTTTGGGTTTCTTTTCCTCAGGCATCTTTCAGCAACAATATGAAGTCTGAAATAATTACAATGAAAGAGAGATTTCTCTCCTCTTTTAGGGCGAGATCTGAGCCATGCTCAGAATTGCACACGTCCCCTTCATAACCCACACACCATTTGTTGGGAGAGAGGGGTAATGGTGGGGTATCCAGAGCATCTCTTGAGCATCTGGATTTGGTAGGGTAGGGCTCCAGTCTCAGACGTGTCATGCCATCAGCAGCAATGCTGCTCAAAGAGTCACCATTAACAAACCTAATCGAAGGGAACAGAGAAGCCATCAGGGTAAAATATGCCTTTAAAGTTATTTAAGATAAGTCATGCATCAAATCTAACAAACAACTGCTATTCATTTGCCGTAAGATATATACTGAGATGAAGTTGGAAAGCATACACAGTGAAACAGTGAAAGCTTTGTGCAACACCAACATAATTTCGTGCAAGTCTTTGTAGTCCTAGCTACAAAAATCCCTACACAGTAGCACTGGCTTTCCCTCTTCCTCTTGTCCATTCTTTTAGGCTGCTTTATCATGCCTCCCCTGCCCCTTTTCCTCCTCACTATTCCACATAGGTATTGGCCCTGTCACATAGGAATGTCTGGGAAAGAACAACAGACATGCATTTTATGCTACTGCTCAGGGAAAGGAAAATGTCCCTAAGCCTCACGGCACGGTACCCAGAGTTAGAGAGAAATGAGAACAGACTCGGTGCAACAGAAGTATGCGATGTGAGGCTGATGTGCTTAGTGAAGAACATAGGTACGTCCTACAAAAGGAATTGCTAGGAGGTAACAAAATAAAAATGAAATAAAGCCTTTTCATCTTGTAGAATTACAGTAATGTTTTCTTCCGAATTAGCAGCTTTAAAAGAAATCACCGAGTTTGTATGTAGATTTTACGGCACCCTGAAAAACATCAGCAGCACTACCTACCTTTTACAACAGAAAAACTGGCACACAGAAACACTGCTGTGCTTCAACAGGCCGCAGTCCTGTACAGCCAAAAATAGGACTTATTCTCCCAAAGTTGCAAAATAATTTTACATTACTATGGAACAAGGTAGTAAACCAGAACTCAGCTTCAAAGCTGCGTGTTAACTCTGCACACTCTAAGATAATTTTGAAGTTGCTGAGATAAAACAGGATTTGCTTAGTTTACTGAACACAGGTATCTTCAGCTTAATAAACATATATAGGCAATCAATAAACAGCTGAAGATGAAATTTATGGAAAGTCTTTGCTTCAGACACCTTTTCAACATTAAATGCCTCATGAAAGAGCTCTGAAGTATATGGCACCCCTTGCTCTGCAACAAATTTGAAGAAATAACCTTTGGAATCATTCCACATTGTTGGTTGTGCTCCTGGTGCATGTGTTTATACTTGCATACAAATATGTTAATTATAGATGGAAGATTCTTTGGATTTGATAAAAATCCAAAGAACATGATGATATGGACGATGCCCTGTATAAAATAAACCATGATCTAAAAGCCTGTCAGCAAAAAGCATAGTTTCTCAGATAGTCAGCTTGTGTAATAAAACTGATCTCCATCCACCTGAAGCAATTCAATTCAAGCCCACCTCTGACATTCCTTTTCCTACCGGCAACAAGATAGGATATAGACAGGAACAGTTACTAAGAAAATAGAGCATACTATTTATACAGCAGTAAATCAGCAAAATACACATCTTGCAACTTGGCATGAGCCTACAGAACTCTCTCGGCCTGCAGCAGAATGACAGCAGCAGACTTTGTCCAACAGTCAAGGAGCAGGAATTCCATAGCAGCATTAGAGCTCAGAGGCACTCCAGTTGTGCTTATAGTAAGCGTAAGCGATACTTCTGTACTCCCTATATGCAATATGAGACAGAGGGCCATGAAGTGCAACAGCAGCAGTTTTTCCTATAACCTTCTGTGAGAATAACAGCACTTGCAGTCCTTGGAGGCAGGCACAACATGCCTTTTACAACTGAAATCTCTTCAGGCTAAAACAATTAAACCAGGTTTCTAACCATGTTTCCTGCCCCATCACTTCAGGCTTCATAAACACAAAGTGGCTGGTTTGCTGTTAACATGCTACTGGCTCCGGCTTTCTTCCACATGTATGTCCACCCACCTTCTCCTCCTAATCTCACAAGAAGCGCACACGGTAGAACTAGAACTGTAGCATCATTAGCTTTTACAAGGTACAATTAAGCACTGAGCAAATTCAAATTGTCTCCCTGGATCATGTGGGAGCAGGGATCTACTGAGCAGCTGACTCTATCCTCCATGTGATTTAATGAGTTCTCTTACTAATTAATCATGGACATAATTCCCACCTAACTGGCAATAAAAAGGGGAGGGGGGGAACCCCAACAAACAGCACTTTTTCTTTTAAAAGCTGTGATAGAACCCACAGTGCTGAAAATTTGCTTGAGGAACTTTAATGAACTGGTTTCTCACTTAGTCTAACAAGAATTATAGTGAAGACTGTAATAGGGAAACTGGTCAAGGACATTATGGATGATGTTCATTTGCCTATAATGTTTTGGTCGCTGCTTGCAACTACTGGTATTAAACTTCCTTGATTCTCATAAGCCAAGTGAAACATATTTGGCAGTGTGAAGAACAGAATAAATAGATTTGTGTTATTCGGGTTACTCGTTGAGCAGACGTGTTCACAGCATCTTTTCAGCACTGCTGGAGATGTAACAGATAACAGAACATCTTTACTACCTGAGAACATGGAGCAACTTACCTTCATCACAATATATCCTAACAGGTTTCAGTGCTCCTTTGAAAGAGGTTCAGGGGCCAGGACTGGGAGACCTTGGAGAGGAACGATACTTCAATTTATTTGGGTAACCTTCTTCTTCCCTTTCTTTTTATCGTCTGTTTTGTCAGTATGGGCACAAAATGCCTACTATACACAAGATTTTTTCTTATAGCCCTTATTTCATGTCCAGATGGTGCAGTATTTTGAGAGAATCAAGGAAGTTTCAGCCAGTATGTTTGCATTTAGGCCTGTAGGTGCTGTACGTTTTTTAATCTGACTACATCACTTTCTTATTGCAGCCAAGCTTGGGTTCTGTCAACACCATGCACTTGGCACTTACCTACTAGTCATTATCTTGATTCTTCTGCCCTTCGGAGCACTGGCTCAAAGGTACAACTACTACTATTTTAGTATTTCAGATGTTTGTCCTCTCTGACACTGCTACGTGTAGCATGTGGTAGAAAGGCGGGGAAAAACAAACACTACCAATGAACACAAAACTGTTGATCAAAGTGAAGATCCTTTTCAAAGCATATTTGTGGGCATATGGGAAAGCTGCACAGAGTGCATCCCGCGGATTCAGCAAATTTTAGAGTAGGACACCAGCAATACAAGGTTGCAATCAAGAATATTGTTCTTATTCTACCAAACTTACCTAAAATTTGGCATGATTTTCCAAACAACGTAAAATAAAGACTCTGGACTAAATGCAGTTTGGCTTCCTTGCCATAAAGCACAGAGTGTCTTTCTGAATTCTTCCACCAATGAACTGGAAAGAAAGTAAAAGCTGGTGATTAATATGGGTGTTTGTATCATAACCCTGACAGATTTACCAGCTCAATGGTACAAATATCGGGCATTACTTTGGTTAAGATTGTAATGATTGGGTAAATATCCTTTCCAGTACTTCAAAGATTTTCAGTCCAAAATCCTACCCATCCTAACCCAGGTTAGGAAAATTGTATTTCAGTATTGAGGACTCACCTGGAAATCTATCCACCTCTCGCCATTTTACTGTAGACTCTGCTAACATCATCCCTTTGACACTTGCTCAAACAAGCTACTGAATCGCTTACTCTGATTATTTTTTTTTTTTTAATAATATGTTCACTTGCAGACACATCCCCATTACCGTATTTTAGCTGTAATTAAGTAATGTAATGTCTGGAGTACATACAACTAGCACTCCTTAACCTTACTTTAAATGCAGTTACATCAGAAAGCACTGGAGTGTATCCGACTGCTTCCCCCTGCAGCACCAGACCTATATAAGCAAACTGCAAGTGATAGAAGCTGCTTTTTTTTTTTGTATGGCCAACTATTTTTCTATGACACTCTCCCCCCATGAATGATTTTTCTATGATTCTGCAACACTGAAAGCATATAGTAGCTCTACTACCCAAGCATTTCCTGTTTTCCGTAAAGTTCAGTGCTAACAAGGAACATGCAGCTTACACATTGTTATCCCCCTGGCTCCTGGTATGGTAAGTTCGCCTGCCTGCCGTCTTCCCATTCCTCAGCTCCACAGCAGGCAACTCTTTGAAGTAACAGCAAAACTGTTGAATGTTACTACAGAAAAAGGAAAAATGAATGAAATCCTTAAAGGGCAGAGAACAAAGAGAATATTATGTATTCTGGAGCCTGTTCTTTGAAATGCATAAACACAAATTCATGCAGTGATAGAGGATGGCAATCAAGAATGGTTCAAGATACAATAAATACTGTAGCAAATACTCATCTTCTGTAAATAACTGAGCAGATCTGTAAATATCATCATCATCCCAACAACCTGAAACAATTACATTTTGGCTTTACTTTGACTAAGAGATACCATGACAGACGGAGGTATCAGAAGGCATTCCCTAACAAGCCAGACTGCATCTGCGGAGGCGGTTAACTCCACGTCTATTGCCACATACCAGTCCTAACCTCTGCTACCACAGTCCCAGTAATGGAACATAAGAAGCATGTGCCTCAACTCCTGCCAGTGAACCCTGAATGATGGAAAAGAAAATGGAGACCGTTTAGTCCTGTTATAGCCCGACTCAGTAGTCTCCCAGTGAAGAAGGCAAATTCAGAAATGCAAAAGGACAATTACAGAGCAGCAGTGGTCTTGGCAGCAGTGAAATGAGGTCTAACATCTCAGCACTGCAGAAACTCTTCTCCTGCCCGCTTCCATGAGACCCCATCCCTCAAAGCACTGTCTCTGCTTTCACAGGGACCATAAGCATCAACATGTTTCAACACGCTCGGCAATGAAAGGGCAGTATCCTTTTCCACTGAGGATACGGCAGGCTTCCTCTGGAACGCCGCATCACAGGAAGTCCCTCACCCTGCGAAACACAACTTTATGGTACCTGCACACACCCATTCCTGCAAATCCAGGGACACTTTTGTACAGTGGTAACTTGCCAAATTCCCTTGCCTATAGCACACAACCACTCTCACAGAGGCATCGGGAAAGCTTCGGAGGTACCTGAGCGACTGAAGGATTGCATTCATGAAACACGTATTCCCCAGGTTCCGAAGGCCTGTGGCACAAAGGGCAGTGGTGCTTCCCTGGAAATGAGAACGGTTAAGTTAAAGAAAGACTTATCATTGCTCCCTTGATTTCTCCCCCCAGAGCTGTCACTGTTATATCAGCATAGATTTAAACAATAATAAACTACACTGTTTGAAAAGTGCAGTTTCAAAGCCAAAGCAACCACCTCAGCAGCTCAAACTGCCTTGAAGCTCCATCTTGACATGAAACCTGTTTCTTACTCATTCCTGTCAACAGAAACTATAGTACATCTTTTCCTCTGCAAATAAATCTAGAATAGGACGACACAGAGTTAATCACAGGCTTTTACTGCAAAGTATTTGTATGTATATATGTTAAATATTCACACTCCAATAATGTTCAGTGAGAAATGGACAGCAATTTCCCTAAAGTGCCTTTGAAAAATGAAAATACCAATCCTTATCCGTACAGTCCCATCTCTAATACGCACAGTGTGGCACTCTGCAGGTTGTTTTTAAGTCACTAGCACTAGCCTGCTGTCTTGTCTTGGTGGGGTTTTGTGGTGGCCAAGAGGGCTTTTGAAAGACAGACAACAGCATTTATTTGGGAAAGAAACAGACAAGTTAGACTGTGCAAAGAAAAAGCAATGTGTTGAATGAAGAGAAGCAAAATATACACCATTTACAGTCTAGGACTTTCGACAGGTTAGAGCAATGTTACCCACAGATGAGCTTGCTTTTTGCCAAATAATCTTCAGAGTGGGCTGGGAGGAGAGGGAAGAGAAATGTGGACAGTGTTGCATTTATGATTTCTAGAATCCGCAACATTTGGACACATTCCATTGTCTACAAAGTATCACATTGAAAGTTCATCAAATATTTGGGCATTCTTCATTGTTCTAACAGAATTTAAAAGCTAGACTATCTTTTAGTAGTAGTATCTCAAAATGAACATATTACTTGACACCAAAAACTTCATGTAAATCCAGGTTACCAAATACGAATTCAAAGTGTTCCAACAAAACTTTTTTTCCTCCCCAAATCTACCACAAACATCATCTCTGGTGAAGAACTAATGACAGCAGGACATTTGTGTATACGTTTTTTAAAAAAAGTATTATTTACATAAGCAATTTACCAATTCAGTAATAATTGTTTAAGAGAGACCTGTTTTCTAATACAGGAAGAAAACTTTTAAGTACAAACACCACAGTGTCCTTAGCATATTCTTTTCTCACTCTTGCGCAGGGTATTAATGCAAACAGCAGTGCCCTGTCTTTTCTAGATAAGGATCCAATGTGCCCACAATAAAAAGATCATCTGTTGCCACAGGCAATATTCAAGTATTAATAAAACTGAGAAAACAGCACAGACTAAGAATAATAAAAGCAGCATTAAGTTCATGCTTTCTAATTCTGTCTTCTCTGTATCTAAACGTTGCCTAGAATTTTCCTTCTGGTTTTTACTGGCTTTGAGTTTTCCAGACAATGATGCTGTGTGTTGCCAAAAACCCCACTATTTATCCCAGGCCTCCTCAATCACCCCAAGATTGGGGTAATACAGGAAACATACACAGCACATTCAGAGGATGCTAAGTTGACTGTAGGTAGTGCATTTTTAAAGTAACTAAACCCCTACAGACTTTGCAAAACAGCAAGTAACTGCTTTGCTCCCACCCCACCCTCTTATTTCCATTCATACTCCTCTCAAGAACTACTTCTCTTCATAATCGGATAATTGTTCCTCATAGCTGAAGACAGCTATTACTTCAGCTCCCTTTGACTACATTGCTGTCCTGCAGCCCCAAGGGCCAAGGAGGAATAGCTCTGCTGTACTACTCCTTCTGGCCGAGGGTGAAAATGAAGCAGTTGCATACAGCTGGGTCAGTATCCCCCCCCCCTCCCTCCCTAAAATCTGGGAGAAATTATGAAGATTAGAAACTCCCTCAACCCAAACTGTGGAAAACAGAGACATTTGGTTTGGGGCATTCTTTGTCTGGAAGAAACTATGTAGCCCTTCAGCTATCTAGCAAAGGCTGGATCGTCCTCTCCTGGGTGCTATTCTGCAGATGTGAAGTTAAAATAGCAGGAAGATGAGAAATGAGAGTGAGAAAAGCTTTCAGAATAGTCTGCAGTTCCTTTTGAAAGCAAGTTTTACTAAGCTCCTTGAAAAATTTGTTAAAATTTTTTACTTTTTCCTAACGATTACTCTCTTACTCCCCTAGAAAAAGTGCACCTGCTTCTCTGTCTTCTGCACTGTGTAAAAAAAAAAAAAAAAAAAAAACGACAAAAAACCCCTTGTCTGCTCAGAAAAGTCTTATGTCTAGCCCTTATGTACTAGCTCCTTCCGATTCCGCTGATCCCACCAAGCTCAAACTGCCCTGAAGCTCTGTCTTGACACAAAACCCTTCTTAAGCACAGAGAAGCTCAAAGTCTAGGTCAACAGAAATGCAGCAGAATATCAAACATTCTTTTGTGAGAAGGGGCTCTTCTAGGTGTGTGATCAGGAGGTAAGAGAAAGTGCACCAAGCAGAATTTGGGTAACTGATTGTATTTCAAGTCTAGGCCAACTATAAGCCTCAACAGGTTTAGAAAAACCCTTTAAACTCACTGTACCAGATCCGTTGTACTTACATTTACTTTTAATAACTTGCTGTTCAGAGATGAGTTTTCCAATAGTTTTCTTTTCCTATGTCTGTCTGATGTAAAGGCTGAACTGTTGGAAAGTAATTAAAAGAGGTCACTTACTATAAAAACAAAATATTGTGTGAAATGGACAACAGATAATCATCCTAATGCTTAACACTGTGATTACATCTGCCATCAGTTGTCATTAAGACAGCAAAGAGCTTCCCGATTGCAACATGTGCTCTTCATAGTCTTAAAAGAGACTGCATCTCCCTCAGAGTAGACGCACATCCCGTTTCCAACACTAATGTCTGAGTTAATTGCATTAAGTTATGCATGCTACAGTACGTGCCCTGAAGAGTGGCCTTACTAGCATGCTTTTCATGTGAAATATTTATCTTTTTCCTTAATCAAAGGAATACTTAATACAGAATTTTCCATAAAATACTTCTGTGAAAAGAATCATCTAAGCCTTTAGAAAGACAACTTCAAAAAATTAGGGCAAAGTAAAGTTACCAAAAATAAAAAATATCTCGAGTGCTAGCACTTATGTATTATAGCTGACTTCTCTTACTTAAATAAAAATACATGAGGTTATAACATTTGTGTAATACTAATACAAAGTTACAAGAACAATTAGTTATTCTTTTCCACATCACTGGAAATTCTAAGTGGCCCTTCAATTCTAAGTTTATGAATTCTCTCTAATCTAATAGCAAAATCATAACTTGTTCCAGATTTTAGTTTTGGTTTGTTGGGGGGGGGGGGGGGGTCCCTTTTTTTTATTAAAAAACCCGGGGGGGTTTTCAATTTTTTTAATAAAAAAGCCCCCAAAACATTCAAAACCTGCCATTACACACAACGGAAGCCTCCACAGTATCATTTACCTCCCAAAGAGCTAGATCTCCTGGACATTTCTGAAATACTAATGTGCACTTCTCATTATGCTTAAACATCTTTACATCTCACTACACACCTGAGAAGCCCATCAAAAAGAGAACGGAAAATAATGAAAATGTTAATATTACCAACAGAGTAAGTGACACACTTAACGCAAGGAGGATCCAGAGACTTCCCAAAATGATAGCCATTTCTTGGCAGGAGTCCTATTTGAACTCCGGGGCATTCAAATATATTTGGAAGCACTGTATGCACACATACTTCTACTTAGTATTATATAAGATTTCCAAGCAAACCGTGAAAATACTATTTGCTATCTAGCACTGGCCACAGCATCTGCATCACAAAGACTGTAAGATTTGTATCTGTATCAGAAATAGTGTGGCCAGCAGGAGTAGGGAGGTGATCGTGCCCCTGTACTCGGCCCTGGTGAGGCCGCACCTCAAATACTGTGTTCAGTTTTGGGCCCCTCACGACAAGAAGGACAGTAGGAGCGGGTCCAGAGAAGGGCAACGAAGCTGGTGAAGGGCCTGGAGCACAAGTCTGATGAGGAGCGGCTGAGGGAACTGGGGCTGTTTAGCCTGGAGAAGAGGAGGCTGAGGGGAGACCTCATCGCGCTCTACAACTCCCTGAAAGGAGGTTGTAGCGAGGTGGGGGTTGGTCTCTTCTCCCAAGTAACAGCGATAGGACGAGAGGAAATGGCCTCAAGTTGCGCCAGGGGAGGTTTAGACTGGACATTAGGAAAAACTTCATTACTGAAAGAGTGGTCAGGCCTTGGAACAGGCTGCCCAGGGAAGTGGTAGAGTCACCATCCCTGGAGGTATTTAAAAGACGTGTAGATGAGGCGCTTAGGGACATGGTTTTGTGGGCATGGTGGTGTTGGCTTGACGGTTAGTCTCGGTGATCTTAGAGGTCTTTTCCAACCTTAATGATTCTATGATATACTTTCCAGTGGAACAGCGCCAGATAAAGGCAGAGGAAAAACATGTCTCTTCTGTACAATTCCAAGTTCATTTCCATTTCCAAGGAAACCAAACTATGCAATTAATATGAAGACTACTTCCACCTGCATTTTCGCTTCAATTTCTCTGCTCCAGAACTTATTCTGGTTTTGACAAAACTACGATTCTGTTCTAAAAATTCTCTCCCGTTTATATGAAAAAGACAGTAATTATTGGCTAGGTAGCAAGAAAGTTAATCGAAATCTAAATTCCTGTATCAACATACACTGCTTCTACAAGATTCACTGTATAAGAAACAAAACATACGAGATCAGCCAAATCCATTCTTCTGCACCTCTGCTTCTCAGTGATGAAAAGGATATTTAAACATACACAGTATCACACACACAGAAGGACCAAAATATATATATAAAATAAGTATATACAAATAAAACAGAAATACCACTTAAATGATGCAATATTACAAGTCCACCCAAAGCAGTCTGGATGTAAACAAACTACTTACTTTTCCAAGTTCTGTAGGTGCTCTCTGACCTTCTGTACCAGGCCCAGCTTGGTATCATTGACTACAAAATCATCACAGCGATAACTGCAAGAAAAACATTTATCAGAACGTGCAAAGGATTTCAGTGAAGTACTCCAAAACAGTCATGCAAACCTAACATGCGGGAAGGACTGAAGTGATTCAGTGGAAGATTATGAGGGGAATAGGAGAGCACAACACCTACGTACTGAGCTTGGTTCCCTCTGAGAACTACCCCATAGCAAGAGAAGGTACAGGCACTATCTTATTACGTTTTTTTTTCTAGCTCAGTTCTTTATTAGAAACCAGAAGCATGATTTACTGCTTGTCCCAATGCAGAATTCCAGTTCAACAAAAATTCAAACATACAGTGTAACCAAAAGCAGCACTAGTAGACAATCCATAGAAGATTTATCAGAAAAGATCAACTGACATCAGGTAAACAGAATACAAAGTTTTTATTAATGTATAGCGTAAATCAATTTATTTTAATACTGTAAAGCTATCATTAAAACCTGAGGTGCTGAACACATACACACATAACGTAAAGGTTTCTGCTACGGAAAAAAGACCAGGGAAGATGAACTAAGAGATTACATGATTTGTCCAAAGTCACACCAGAAGTCCGTGGCAACTCGCACCTCATGCTTTAACCCCAAATATCACTCAATCTCTCATATAGTTTTTATATATAGAGAAACTCTTATAAAACTTAAGCTAGTATTTTGAGCTTTTTCAGTGTGCAAAAGTAAGTAACTGAGCTCAAAAAGAGAGAGAAGCTGATCTGCCCACTGCCTCAAAGCAAATGTAAAGTGAAGCCAAATCAAAATGGCCTCTCAGCAGAAGCAAGGGTTACAAAAGTCTACAATCCTATTATGTTCTACAAAAATCTCACATTTCCCAAGAAGCAGAGATGTTCATTGTAATTTAATATTCTAACTGTGGGCTTGTAATGCCTCATATAGTGCACAAAGGCAAAGGTTACAGACCATTTCTAAAGGCGGGGAAGAAGGGTCTTTTAGGGAAGGCTGAAAAAAACCCCACACCTTATTTCACTAGTTTTCTGAGTACACGTGAAGAAATGAAAGGAGAAGGTAGCAAAGAAAACTGTCACAAGAAGAACACTGTTGCAAGATGGCATTACTTCTGCTGCTTTGCTGTATTTTAAATCCCTTGATTTTCTCGCCCTCACAAAAAGGGGGAATAGAGGTCCCAGAGTGAAGTGGACCCTCCTACCCATGCTCTTTCTTCCATTTGTGAGGGAAAGACGACACCTGTATACAGGGCAGGGTAGTAGAAAGGGGAGGGGAAGGAAGGACAAAAATCCCTTAAAACCAAGAAACAGAAATGCTGCAGTCAATAAGGAAGCCCAGCCCTGCAGAATCCACACCTGCACGTCAGTAAACCAAGAATTCTGTGCAGCTCCTCGAGTCTCTCTCAAAGGAGGCAGTCAGCGGAGCGGCAGTCTTACTGCTGTGCTCAGGAGCTGCAGATGACATTTCACAGTATTCTTGCAGGGTTAGGTCAAGAACTAGATAACCTATATTCTGGCAAAAGAAACAGGAAGGTAAGAAAAGACTTAACACCACTTGCAGCAGCTCTTTTGAGAACGCTGCGGAAAAAGGGAGCAGAGACTTGTCACAACTTCCCTTCCCCCACATCCCACAAAGGTAACTCAGGTCTGAGGCGGCAGTGTTTATCAGCCCTGTGCTTACTGTGAAGCATCAAATTGCAGCTTCAAATTGTGGCAGGCAACTGAACACTTCCTGTGAAGAAAACTAACTTACTTTGGATATGCTTAATATCAGAACCGTAGCTATTCTCTCCTTTCCCTTTGGCACAGGACTGACTCAAATGCAAAATACATCCTCATCGTCTCAGGTTACTCCTCTACTGGAGCAGCTCCATGCTTCCTAAGCTAATGAAGCTATTGACTTCAGGCACAGCTGGAATTTAAAACATTCTTCGTTGCATAAATCTGCGATGTAGTTCAAAGGCAACAGTATTGCTAGTGTTAATTCAAACACCAAATTCTTGAGGAGACTACAGAGTTGAGAAAGTAAAGGCCCTTGCCACCGAAAGGAGTCTGTACGACCAGTCTTGTGCAGGACCTCTGTTGATTTTTGCCTCTGAGAAGAGAAATTATATACGACTCTCAGGATTTCCAAACACTGAACACAGCAGTTATGGATACTTAAGCAAGATCTAGAAATTATAAAATAGCTATTGCCAGTAACAGACTCTTTTTTTTTTTTCTTGTTAAAAGATTGCCACAGACCTAATTAGTTTGGGAGGGGAAAGAAGTCTGTAAACATGCTTATTTTTCAGCCATGTTTTAAGTAGTCCTATTCAGCTTTATCAGCCACCTACAATTAACCTAATGAAGTGTTCCTGCATTTGCCACTCTCGCAGGACACTACACCTCAAGGACAACCATCAGAGCAAACTACCCAGGCCAGCTTTGGTGAGAGGTAAATATGGTGCAGATGGATACAGTACAGTTTGACTCCTCCTCAATACCAAGGGTGTCCACACCCCCAGGTATACTAGCCCAATTACATTGCTACCTTAATTGTGTAGCTACTAACATTTATGAACAGGGAATGAAAGCAGATGCAAGCTCACTGAAAGCCTCTTTATGGCTAAAAGATGATTTAATACTTGCTCCCATGCCCTAAAAATCATGTTAACCTTATTTTTAGTCTGATCTCACATACCAGTTACATCTTTACATAAAATTGCACGTTAGCACTTTCCCCAAGATGAAGGAATAAAACCAACTAAGTCAGGGTCCTTGCAACAGTGGAAAAGTAATTTTAAGATTCACTTAAAAACAAGACAAGCTTTTTCTATTTCTCTTTTTAATGGGCAGGTTTTTTAAATCACCTCCCTTGCAACACTGAGGATTCAGCACTACTACTAGAAATTACAGCACTACTACTAATCTATTTTGGATAAACAAAGTAAACAGCACAGGAAGTAGTTTATGCTTTAATAGCTCAAAATTTGCTAAGCCTACACACCTTGAAGGTGAACTGCTGAGAGATAACTCCCTGTATGTGAAGCGGCCATTCAAAACAGATGTTTAATATGTGATCCTCAAGATTATCACAAATTAACAATACACCTTCTTGCATACAGCAGTTCTACAATATGCTTTTAACAGCAATTGTACAGAACAAATCCTATACTTCGGGGAGGGTCCCTTATATGGATTAGCACAGTATTTTCCTCTCTATACACTTTCTAATTTTAGCAACTCTGCTACCTCCAAGGCCTGGTCTTTTCTGGCCTCCTTTGCTGCTAAAATGGCAGCAAGCCAGTGAATGTATGCACTGCTCTGGGGAACACTTATGCTTAGTGCTGGCCGTTTCAGTAGGTTACAGAACTTTATGCTATTTTTAAAAGCCTTGATTGGATTTGAAGAATTACAGGACAAGGAAAATTAAGAAAATCCAAGTTTCCTTAGTTGTGCTAACACTTTATATATGATTAAACTCAAGTTTTACTGTCTTGATAAAGGGCTTTTTACCTTCTTTAATTTCCACTGACTACAGAGTGCAAAACAATGGTCCTAAGCAATCTCATTTTCGGATGCTCATGTGCTAGCACAGTAAGTCTGTTTTTTAAATAGAACCACCATCACAAAAAGAAAGATTAAAAAAGAATTGTTTAAAGTCCTTGGCACTTTGTTATTTTTACATCAGCCTGGGTGGGGCGGAGGGGGGCGGGGAACATTAGCACAACCATGTTCCTTTATGAGATAACAAGGAGGCTAATGGGTCAGAAATCTGATCTGCAAGTTGTGTCTGGGATTAAATGAACACGGGAAACATATTATGCAAATACATAAACAGGGGAGCCTTTCTTCTTCTGTGCTAACCAACTGTCTGTGCACTAGCACAGAGAAAACAAATTTACAAGAGTCCTCTTTCAGGAAACCTATTTCTGAAAATAGGCTTCTTACCCATATCGTTTTACTTCTCATGCACAGAAAAACAACCACTACCGAATGCAGGAGAAAGCATCATACGACAGCTTGACAAGAAGAAAGATCTGTACTTCTTGTAAACTCTTTGTGCTTAGTACTTCAGGACTAACTGAAAGGCCGATTACCTCCAAAAAGTGGAATTCACGAGTCTGTTTTTCTCAGTGCTTAGGGTCTCAAACAATTCAGTCTGAAGATTTAGTATTGCATCTACTGTCTCAAAAGTGACCAAAGAATCAAGGAAAGAGTTGTACTTTCATAATAAATAAAAAATTAACATTCTCTCAACTTTTCCACTGTAAAGACTGAACAGGCAAATAGGAGGACATAGAAGAAAGATCAAAACCCTCTAGAAAGCAAAGTGCTAGCTGCCCAATGCTTAATACCTCAAGCATGCCTGTATTTTTCAAAACATTACCAAATTCATAAATACAATAAAAACCTCATCTCAGATTAAAAAAAAAAAAAAAAATTAACCACCGTCCTACCAGAACTGAAACATTTTCCTTTCAAAGCTATGTTGAAAGCTTGTGATCATGTAGAAGAAAACATACACACTTAAGACTTCCACGCTGAAATGCAACTACAGGAGACTGCTTGATCTGGTTTTGGTTTACAGCAAGATTGCATGTGAACTAGAAACAAAATTAAATAAACCATGGTAGCTTCAACAGTCACATATTATTTCTTCCCCGTGGACTGACAAGAATAGCTAAGGCAAACCCTGGACTGTGCTCTCATGACAGCATGAAAGTTCATGACATAGCCAAAGAAAAGCAAAGGATTAAATGCCTTCTGCTTAGAAAAGAGCCCATACAGGCCTGTTCACTGCTACTATCATGCAAGCTAAGGAACACAGTAAATTGGGATCCATAGGATAAAAATGGGACAAGAGTATTCCACTCAACTCTGTGCAGTAAACAAAATTGTAAATAAAAACATAAAAGCCAGCACTGCATCAAAGTATCTCCATTATTTTTACAGTAGAATTAGAATTCAGTTAGTCTTAGGATGGTATTTTCTTGACTTTCAAATTACTGAGATTGCCCACATCTCTAGCATAAAATATTAACCCTTAAATAAAAGTTCACTTAAAAAAACTATCATTGGATAAACATAGCACTGTCTACTGGATTCATGTCTACACTGAAGAAGCTGACAAATAACATTTCAAAATTCAATCTCCACAGTAGCTAGTTACGACTCAAATTCACCCAACTATTTGCATTAACTGGCAAGCACTATTTGATAGCAGCCCCTACGGTACTGTCTGAAATAAAGGGGCAGAAGTTGGTCTGAATGCTTTCTGCTTCATCTTTACTCATGTAAGCTCATTTCCACTGAAAAAATTGGGTGCAATAACAAATCCAGGTATTTTTTTCTGGTTATCAGGTAGGAAAACACTGAAATATCCTAAGTGAAAGCAAAGAGACACTGCTTTTGAAACTTGCTTAGCTTCACATTAGCACAGGAGAGCTATAATTTGCTAGTGAATTATACAGAACAGGAACTCCCCAAGGCAAAGCTCTCTACAATTAGTTCCAGCTCATCCATACATGACTCAGCCTTCTACTTCGATTACAGCAGAAAAGACATCACGCGCTAAACGGCTTCTCATCTGTCCTACCACAAATATGCTGTGAAACACCAGTGAGCTTCCTAAGTGCATACCTATCTGCTCCTCACAAGCATAGTTTGTTTCAGTAATAGATCCCATAGTCCTCAGTTTGGCTGTCATCATTTTGCAATGCCCATATTGGGTTTGGGATAAGGTCAGCAGGGTGCTCTGACCTGCTAGTGTAACTCATCCAGCCTCAGCAAGTTGGGCATGCTATTTGTCATAGCAAATGGAGATATAGTCAAGACTTCAAATACCCTGCTAAAATTCCTCCACACATTATTACCTTCAGAGTGACCAGAAGACAGGTTATACTTCAAACAAAACAAAACGCCACAACGTAGAACTCAGTTGTTAAGAGCATTAATCGGGAGAGTGGAATTAGCTTCCCACAGCTGTTCCAATGCTGGTAACCTGTGCCTATGTGTCACTTAGAAACATTTTATGTTTTCTAATGTTTTCACATAGAGGCAGATAAAAATGATCGTCATTTAAATAAAATGTAAATAGAAGCAAAATCCCCATACATCACAAAGCTACTCAAACCTTTCTTCTATGCTTAACATCCGTATAATTTTTGAGTTGCTCCTAACAAAATTTCTTCAGGTGAGACTACTTAAATGGGATTTTACTTGCAGGGGATAAAAATATTTGTTACAGAAGTATTCCTCATAAAACTGGATACCCAAACTTCAGCAAACAGGTTTTTCTCTGATGAAGTACACAATAGATACCCAATTATTTGAACAAAATACTCATCAGTGGAGCTATATACTCAGTAATGTTACAAGAGCGTTAACACGGATTACCCCAAGATTTGCACTGTTCAAATCCTGCACTGCCACACCACACAAGTAACGACATACATGGGAAACCAGGAAGCTAACAGGAAATGGGGAAGCAGCTGTCAACAGTTTTGCTTAGGGGTGAGGAGGATGGAAGATGCTAAACACACAAAAGCATTGCTTTCAATAGACTTTCAGTCTTTGCTCTCTGAGGAACAAGGAAGATAGGGAACCCGACATTACCCGCATAACTATTAGATCTCCCTAAACAGTGCTCATACCTCACTCTAAGAAACTGATAGAATAAATCAGTTCAGGCCATTCTTCTCTCAAAAGAATCACTTCTGTGATTCTGCTGCTTAATCTTGCCAGAGAGCTGATGCTGCTTCCCAACAGGATCCATCACTTTCCCAAACTCATGCAGGTTGCACCAAATCGCCGAAAGAAAGAAGCCTTTCTTTCACAGTGAAGAAAAAAATTAATATAGGAAAAAAACCCACACAAAACACACACATACACACTTCAAGTTCACATCTCTTGGGCAGGAACTATAGTGTATTATTTTACTTTCTGATATTCTGACAAATAAAGGATATGTGAAAGGCTTACCAATTTGATGGAAGGAGTAACTACAACCAAACAGCAGCCTTTGCAATTAAAAGGTTAGGTTCTCAACATACCCCAAAGCAAACAGAAGCAACTCCAAAGCACATAAATAGCATTTATTTCAAAAAGTTTCTGCTAAGTCATTTGAAAGGCGGGCGTTTAGCCACAACCAGTACTACAATACACATGCAAAAGCAGAGGGTTATTTCATAACTGTTTTTAAACAGCCAGGTCTGGAAATCAAGAGATGAAGTGCTCAAAAACGTGTGTAATAAAATGCTTCACAAGAGTTAAAAGTTTTCACCCTCTCGTATGTAAAAAGTTGTCAAATTACAGCATTTAAACCCTTACCAGTATGTACTGTAACTACTGCAATCCATGCACACAGTATGCTGAACTTTCTCTTGTTTTTCTGTTTTCTTATGATTGGTCATAGGAATCTGTGCATCTTCATAATGCTTTTTTGCATGGCCATTCACATATCTAAAATAAATGAATAACAAAAAAAGTCTTATAGTTTTAAACAGTTACTTAACCAACATTCATTGAAAATAAGAAGAAAAAAGGCAGCCTAATAAGCATTCAATATTTATACAGGCATTAAAATAGGCAATTCACCTGTGTGAAAACATTGGTTGAATTTTCTAACTTTTTACCCCTTTACTCTCCCACGTTGTCCTAATTAATCTCTCCACCTCCTTTAGAGCAACCACAAACTGGCATCTTTGTGCCAAATCCCAGGATCTGGGCCCTGAACAGACTTCACAACTGGGAAAATCGTTAGCTCCCTTTTTCCATACCTGTAATGTGGTTAGTCCTCCATATTGCTTTCCCATATACTTTTCTTACAGCTCTACTTTTTTCTCTACCCAGCACTCATCATGTTTGTGATTACTTTAACAGTGTGCTGACCCCCATATGAAAGCACATCCATGCTAAGCTTTCCCATTCTGCAGCACAATTTAATATTGGAGCATTCTATGTTTTATGAAGTTCATGAATTTGAAAGGCTCTAGGGCGTGGGGTCACATAACTGAAAAAGAAATCTAAAATCTTACAGCTCTTTTGCCGACACAATGAGTGTTTTCACGCTCAAAATTTGAGATCTAGAAAATTAAGCATCTTTAATTAAAAAAGGGTCATTACAAATGCAAGTGCCCTAAGTACCAGCTGAAAATCATTAACACTGAGAAGTGCATGGCCAGACCTCAGACCCTCCTCCCCCATGTCTTGCTTGCTCAACTCAGTAATGCTAACCGGTAGGAACTCGGCACATGCTCCACATGAAGGTCTTTGTATTCTACACTTGTTCTCACGTGCAGGTGTAAACAATTCTGCTAACGCAGCTGTGCTAGTTAGGCACAGGGTTACCAACATCGCTGGACTGGGAGAATCCTGCAGCAATTATGTCATAACCCGAATGAGACAGTTGTGCTTGCAGGTGTTGGTTTTCTGCCTAACAGTGCAAATGACAGGTTTATAAAGCTATGCTCCCGCCAGAAATGCTCTGCTGCTATAACATGGTCAGTAATGTTCCCAACTCTAACCTGGGGGATGTACTTCAAGTGAAGATCTGAAAAGCTCTATTTCTCTACCTTTAATTTCAAATGTTATCTGAACAGAAGAATATGCTGTGTGCTTTCATGATCAAAAGTGCTCCCATTACAAGGTATATTACATTTTTCTCATTCAATTATTTTCCATTCTAAGGATGGGAGCAGTTTGAAAAGTCAAAACAAACTGCATAAATAACTGACTCAATGTCTACTAACTGCACACAAGAAAGGTCATATGTGGACAGCAATAATATTTTTTTTTAAATCGGTAAAATATTCCAAACTATTTATATCACACCATCACATAACATGAAGTAGTTCCCCCTCTCTTAGCTCTCACCAAGTATAAATTTATAAAATAAATGAATAAATAAAAAGTGAAAAAAAGGGTTTTGTGCTGAAAACTCTGAGTAAGAGACATTATTAAAATTGTGGCACTTACTGCTAGCCAGATCAAAGAAACAAAACCTGGAGTTTATTGAGCCCATTTTAAAAGACAAAGTCACTAAGTTTAATGATGCTTTTCCAGAATAAAAGCAGACCAGCACAGATGCTACCCTACAGATGAAAAACATGTTCACATCTCAGATACTGTCTAAGTGTCAACACTAACTGCATTCTCATTAATATGTGCATCTCAAACACTTATGTAGCAGCAGATTTTCTACAATTATCCTGGCATATAAATAACAGCATTGACTGTATCATTCCTCTACAAATTCTTTTGGTGTACCTTCAACTAATACAGACAAAAAACAGGTGTACTCTGAAGGAATTCTGGTGGTAGCTAGTCCTTATATGTTATGGCAGTAACTTTGTTCCAAAACTACGCTACATTTAAGGTATTTTCTGTCTAAGCTGGACAGTTGCTATTTTTCTCAAAATAACCTGTGCCAACTTTGGATTTGTGGGTTTCCAAGAATTCTTATTGTTTAATCTTATTACAATAGAAACATCTTTTACTGAATGGAACTTTACAATAATCCACTGAATTAGTAGTTCTCCAGGCACTTTTTGAGCTGAGCAATCACATTCACTGTACACTTTCCTTTTAGGAAAAAAAAAAAATGATGTTGAGTATAATCTCTGGACTCTTATAAGGCAGCAAAGAAGTGTGTTCAGTATAAACACACAATGTTAAATGAGACCATGAAAGGTTTATTTCAGGGAATTATAAAGGCATTCAGGAAAATTTTGAATGAACTGCCTCAGAGTTGAGCAACAAAGAAAAAAGATAAAGGTCTGATTAAAAGATTTGCACACTAAGACTTTGTACCCACCTTCCACAATGGACACTTGAGCACGTCAGACAGACCCACGGACTTTTATTTGACCGGCACACTATAAAAGATTTTTTAAAAAAAAAAAAAAAAAAAAAAAAGTCAAATGAATTGGCTTTGAAATTACAGTTGTATAACACATCCTGAGTGCTAGCAATAGCTCTACTACTCCACCTTAGCCGCACAGTTATATAAAATAGCCACTCATGTTCATTAACCTATATTAGGGACTAAACTAACAGACTGAAGAACTATTGACACTAAAGCACATTAGCCACCTTCTGGCTTGGGTTTTAGTCGCAGGCTACACATTTACTTGTTACTTTCCATGAAAAATTTAAATTTTTTTGTTTGTACTACATCCACATGAGGTCTACTTGATTTTGAAATACAATACAGAAATAACAGAAGCAGAAACACTGGCAAAGTTTAAAAAACCTTTCTTTTGGCTTTTAATAAGGCAGTCCACCAAACACAGGGAAAAAAGCCACAGCACTTCACTTCTGTTTCATAAAACTAGTTATACAAGAAGCCATTTTAAAGAAGATATCACAAGAAAGCCTGGCAATCTGGTAAGAAGCACACGGAATAAATTACTGTGCAATGCATGATAATATGCACCATTTATACAATACGTGTTCCTATGCTGCAGTGCTGGTAAAGGCTTTATCCATGAAGATTTTACCCTCTCAGTCACGCACAAGAAGCTGAAAGGTTAAAATGCAACACAGTTCTGTGCTTCGCAATCCATTCAAGACACCAGAAGATGTTACCTAATTTTTTAGCTGTCTTCTAAGTCTAGAAAACTTAAATTAAATAAACATGGATGTTTTTAAGCTAAAAGGCTTAAAGGGAAAAAACAGCAGATACTAGAAAATGATGAAACACCATCTCAGGGTAGAGTCATAGAAATGGGATATTCCAACTCCTACCCCAACCCAGTGGCAAAGTCTGCAAATTCAGAATAGAAACAAAATCTCAATAAATAACCCATATAGGCAGAACACAGTAAAACAGGCAAGCAGAGCAAAATTTCCATTAGGCAAGTCAAGAAAATGTATATACATCTTTATAAACAATAGCAATTTTGGAACTATAACTAAATCGATATTGAACTCTCAAATTTTGAGAGTAATTCCAATTTGGATCATATCATTGAAGGAGGGATGCTATGATATACAATGCTTAGATTTGAATAAAGTAAAACTTTTAACAACTACACATTACCACAGAATTTACAGAAATAGCATTACACTTTCAAATACCCAACTAAAACGATGAGAAAAGAAAAATGAATTGCTAACTGCACTTCTGCAAGGGCAGAAAACAATTATAAAAAGACGACTTCAATTATCCCAAAAACACAAAAGGGTATGATGCCACCTAATTTTTCTACACACTATAAATAACTGCTTCTTGGAGCAGCGAGTCAAAAGAGTCACAGAGGAAAAATACGACATCAAGAACACGAGGGTCTGTGAGGCCAGGGGGAAGAAGGGACAAAGAGAAAAGGATTAAATCCTAGCATACATGTAAATTATTTATATTGCTATTTATTGTGGAAAAGCTTGAGAACAGCCTTCCCTGTCTGGAGTCACACCTTAGAGAAAGGAACTGGGGAAACTGAAGCACGCACAGAAGCTGCTCCAGGGCAGGATCACCTGAGCAGGCTAATTCAGGACTAATTTGCTGTCTAGCAAAACTCAAAAATACGTTCACCAAGCTACAAACCATGGTACATATCAAACTGTTAAGATCAAAGACTATCAGAGAAAACTAAGCTAACAAAAGTGAAAGAAGTTTCTTTATCAAATTAAATGCTAATTAAAAAGAAAAAGCAAGGAGGGAGTCAATTTTTAATTGAGAGAGAAGTGACTAGCTTAGCTGTTTAGAAGAGCTAATATACTTTTCAGCCATTAGATTTCACCTTTTTATTTAAATCAGATGGAAAAATAATCTAGCTAACACTGCTTCTTAAAGAATTGTTTTCTGGATTTGAATTCATTATTACAAATAGTTGTTCTATTTCAATTCACAGGCCCAATCCAAGGAATGTTTAAAACTAAGAATTTTACTATGTTCACTGGAAAAAAAGCACATTCCACAGAAATATTATTTGAAGTAACTACTTGAAACTCTTTAGTAAAGACCCCAGAATTGTTTTCTTAAACTGCCGCAATTATTCCTTTACTTGAGAAACACATTTTCTCACATGTCTCAGTTTTCTGGTTTTGGTTTTCCAAAAACAAATTTTCCTATTTCTAAAGTTGATGGGTTCCCACAACTGTGATGGTAATCTTGCACTAGATAGAGGACCGCCAGGTAGAGCTGTTTTGGCTTACATTTCAAATTAGAAAAGTGGAAGAAGTTTGTCTCATTTGACCAAAATGTTATCAAGAAAACCAACATCAGTTAAAAACGGGCTAAATGGACTATCGGTCTAACTTCATACAATTTTATTTTCCTGAATTACACAAATTGAAAGGTAAAAATTAACCAGAAGGAAACAGAAGCCAAAACCATTCATGCACTTAAACACACATTAAGTACTGCATGAACAAACCACTACCCTACACTCTCCTTGCCAGGAACATAGAATCATAGAATCATTAAGGTTGGAAAAGACCTCTAAGATCACCGAGTCCAACCGTCAACCCAACACCACCATGCCCACAAAACCATGTCCCTAAGCGCCTCATTTACACGTCTTTTAAATACCTCCAGGGATGGTGACTCCACCACTTCCCTGGGCAGCCTGTTCCAAGGCCTGACCACTCTTTCAGTAAAGAAATTTTTCCTAATGTCCAATCTAAACCTCCCCTGGCGCAACTTGAGGCCATGACACAGTCTTCCTAGCATTAAAATCCCAGCAGAAATCTCCCACTTTGAAATAACATTTTTGCTTTCACTATGTTATCATCCATGGACAGAATTAGTTCTCAACTAGTAGGTCAAAGCATTATGATGCAAACTATTATTCTTACTTTCCACCACGTACCAGACAATTACAATTTCACATTCAGGTATTTTAAATACCGGCACTGCTTGCTTGTCAAGTGTTAAATTATACTGAAGTAGTGCTCACTCTGCAGAGTTCACATCAGGTTTAAGTGTTCTGCACAAAGCCAGCAAACAAGTCCACCAGCTCCGCACAATGCCAAAAAATACTGTCCACTAAAATGTTCCATCTTGCATATCAGGGAATAAGAAAAGGTGGCTCATTTGTTTGCTTTAACTTTTAGGAAGAACTTTGCTCCAATTGCCTCACATTAGAAATGCGTAGTTTATCTTCTGCACAAACATCTCCTCCCACAAATAACATGGAAGTGACTCCCACTAAGATTAAACACAGAAGCCAGTATAAAATTTGTGACCTACAGTTGCTCTGTTCTAAGAGGATTACACAACTGATTTTTTTAAAGGTTGCTGAAGATTGCATTCTGTACTTCTCTGAAATGCAGATACCTGCATTAAAGCTTGGCTCTCTAGATATTCCTCAATTCAGATCTTGAAGCAGTTACCGTCTGTTACTTACTATTAATAAATTAGATTAGGCGAGGAGCTTCAGGCATTAGTCAGGACTCTAACAAGACAGGCACCATGGAATGCACAGCAAAAGTAGAGTCTCTGCCCTGGACTGCTTATAACCTAAATCAAAGGTAGACAGTTTGGCTTCATCTGTAAAGAAAGTGCACGTTTTTCCTTTCAGATGTGGTACTGACATGAAGGCACTAAGCTTAAAAGTAGACCAGAAGCAAGAGAGACAGATCCACAGCAAATCTCTTCTCAATTCAAAGCACATTACACGGCCCTGGAACTTGGCCCTTAAAACAGACTTGGGTGTTCAAGACTTTCAGGTCAGACAGTTACACAGAATCATGAGGAAAGACTCTCAGACCTATTTGTACAGGTACAAATGTCTTCCCTCAATAATCAGTATACCAACAGGGATTTGGGTTTTTATTTTTGTAGTGCTATTTAAAAAAAGAGGAGGAGGGGTGCACTACATTAGCACCCCCTACTTTGGAATAAAGTTACAACATTTAACAACAAACATCTTAACCACATTTTAAAAAACCTTCATTATCTGTGTTCGTTAGACCTTATTTAGTGGTATACAGGCTAAGCAACACTGGCTGCTTTCTCAGCTTGAACTAAAGTGGCTACCGCAACAGTTACCAACTGCCTCATTTTGCTATTATTTTTAGAATAGCTTCAAGTGGTTAGGCAAAGATGCTACTAACATGTCAAAAGAAAAGAGAAAGCAAATGTGCAATGCTACAATGTTGTCTGAAGCAGTAAGTCATTTGCCACTTAACATCAATATCAGCTTATTGAAGCTTAGAAACATAATTTTTCATAGGAAGGGGAAATACTATCCTTTACAGAATGATTTCTCTAAGTGAAAGCTGAACACTCATTTGTTATACAGCTGACAAAGCCCTCTGTAAATGAAGAGGAGTATCAATCCGTCCCCAAGAGAGCAAACAATTGAACAACCACTACATACAGACTCACACATAACTATGGGAACATTCAGACAAGTCCCTCCCCCTTCAGCTTCCACTTTCTGTAAATCATCCTGATAAATAATCAAGTTATGCCAAGTAGAATGAGTAAGATATGGCTAATCAGTTTGGCACTCTCATCACAGGGCCCCTACCCCATCTTACCCTCATGATCACTCAAATAGGTATTTCTGAATCTTGACTTTTTTTTTTTACTTATTGAAAACTGACTCCAAGTGCACTCTTGTGAAACATGAACGCTCCTGGCAAACACTGTATTCCTTACAGAACAAAGCTGCAGATTTCCACTGCAGGAAAGCTACAACTACGTAAAAGTATACAAACAACCTGTGAAACTAATAGTTTTGTTTAAATAGCACACTGCATAATTTAGAAACTGGCACAAGAAAAAAGAAGCAGGAAGAGGAGGAGACAAACAGGAAGCAGCTTCTGTAAGGCAGCCAAGCTAAGAAACCTGCAAGATACAGTGTCCACCCGAGATCTGGCAGTAGTGCAGCCATGTGATCAATGCAAACCGGCGACTTCGCCAGTC